TCACTGACTTTCTTTAGAAATGCAAAGAGACTAATAGATTGTGATATCACTTAGGAATTTGAGGGCAAAAGCAAGGCTTATGTTTTCTTGGTAGACCTGCACCAGTGCACTGAAATCACTAGAAAATAAGCAACTAGATGACCTCCTCCTCCCCCAAAAATGATTTTGACCTCTAGGAATTGTTTTACGTGTCCAATCCATTTCTAATTTCTAAAAACAATATTTTGTTCTTAAGGGGAGTGTATATACCTTGTAGGCAAAATTAGAAGTAAGTTTGTGTCATGTGTTTATTTGGTGCCTATGTGAGGCATGCCGTCCTCATTTGTACACTGCTTTGTAGAAATGCCTGTTTGTGTGATTATTGAACACTAACCTAAATGGTCCTGAAGATAGTTTATAGCAGCTTCAGCATTCCAGACGGCCAATACCTAACACCTAAAATAGTATGGCTTACAAAACACGAATCCTAAGGGTCTAAAGTACAAAGTTGGCAGTGCAGACAGCAGGCCAGAGCTGCCACGGAAAATGGAGAGGTCGGTAAGGAAATGTGTCTTGTGGTTGAATGGGAATTTCTGTTCCTTAGGTCATTTCTAGTTCAGAATGATGAGGGTGTAGTACTAGAGGTATTTGGAAGACGGTGTTACCAACTCTGCAGAGTCTGCAGTATTCAGAAGAGCACAGGTGAATGCAGTGTGACTGCTGGTTACCTTCCAGGTTACCTTGGATTACTAGGAGTCACTGCCTCCCTCTTGCACAGGTCTTAATCATCTTGAGGGGAGCTTTCCTTAGAGGCCACTATGATAGGCCAGTTTCAGCTGGTGGGTATTAGCGGATTTCTTGCAACAGAAAGGCAGGCTAGCAGTTTCAGGTTCCTAAGGCCTGCTGGGTGTCTTAAGACAGTTCACCTGAGCAATATGGTGAGCTTCCTTTAAAACACATGTTAATGTTTTATTTAAAATAAATGAAGGATTTTGAAAATCGTCCCAGTAGTCTTATGATCTTTAAACAGCAAATGTTTCTTTTATTAGAATGAAACTCAATTCCCTGGCCATCACACTTAAAAGGACTGCTTCTGCCTTATATGAACACTAACCAGAACCTTACCCCAGTTTCTTGTGGACAGATTTTCTCATCTTGCATTTTCACATTGAAAACGCTACCCCTTGAAGACTGTGAAATCACTTTATTCTTTATGCTGCTAGGAAAACAGACTTAAAGGATGTGGTGGTATACACAAAAGGCAAAAAAAAGTAGATAAATGAAGTGGGTTTTTTTTACTCCTTAAAAGTCTGCCTTCTCTGAAGAAAGCAAAGCAAAACAAAACAAAATCAAAATCAAATTAAAAGTCAAACATCTCAGCACCCAGAATCTAGCAAAAGGCCATTCTTTGGCATGGTTCCAAATATAAGTACTTGACATCTTTGATATAACTAATTATTTTAAGGGAAGAATAAAGATTTCTCCTTAAGTGATTTTCCTCTCTTTATCAAATAGACATGCTTCCCCTTCACACTGATAGTAGAATTAAGATGTACCTTGTTTGTGAGTATGTCCAAAGTACAAGGCAGACATGAAAAAGAGACTAAATGAAACCCATAACTTCATACAGTTACTGTGTACGAATCCAAGATTTTAAAAGAAAAATAACTATATCCCTCATAAATATTACTAGATGATAGTAACTTAAGTTTTTTAAAGTTCACTAAGTTCACTGCATCTCTCCCATAATTGCCAGTGTTCATCCAGGGTAGTTGGCTTTTCTTGAAAAGAGGCAGGAAATAACTGTCTTTGGTGCCATATCCTTAAGAGAGTTCATTTTTTCAATTGCCTTTACAATGAGTGTAGCTAAGAAATCCGAGTACCAGAGAACACATGCTTGCTCTGCCACTAAGTGGTTGCTTGATATTGAGAACAGCAACACCTCCTGGCCTCTGTTTTCTTATAAGGGTGTGTAATAGTGCCGCTTTTCTCATTTGGATTTTAAGAGGACTGAAAAAACTAGCAGATGTGGAATGATTAAATCCGTGCCCATTGGCCTGTCATCCTTAGCTTCCTACAAACTTATCTCTTGGGTTATACTGAGGTAACAAACAACCTGAACACCTCAGGGATTCAACTCAAGAAAATCTTGGCCCAGTGGTGGTGGTGCACAATTTTAATCTCAGCACTTGGGAGGCAGAGGCAACCTCTGTGAGTTCAAGGTTGGTCTGGTTAACAGAGAGAGTTCCAGGACAGACTCTAAAGCTACAGAGAAACCCTGTCTTGAAAAAAAAAAAAAAAAAACTTATTTCTCATCCACACCCACTTCCCGCACAGGCCCTCAGAGCGGCAGTACTCCCGAAAGTCACTCTGACATCTTAAGTAATAGATGGCATGCCAAGGGAAAGGGACATGGCACACACCCTATGCCCTATCCACTGTCCCTGAGACCCTTGTGTGAAAGTGACTGGCTGACACTCACAATAACTGCCCAAAAATCACATCAGCATGCTTTTCTTCAACATGCATAAAGTTAGACATGGTGGCCAGCTCCTGTCTCCCATCATTTGACACACTTAGGCAGGGGGATTGACCTTGCTACGAGTTCAAGGCAATCTTGAACTACATAACAAGATCATGCCTCATTTAAAGAAAAAAAAAGAAGGAAAAAAGAAAAGTAGATGGAAGAAGTATAATCCATAGTGTAAATGGGAGAAGTATAATCTATAGTGTGTCCAAACAAAAACAATGACACCTTTATCTTAATAATAGCTTTATTAATATAATTTATATATTATACAATATACCCATTTAAATTATATAGTTGAGGTACTCAAGTTAGCATCACACCATACAGAAGTGTAATTCAGGGCTTGGTATGTGGCTCAGTGGTAGAGCACTGCCTAGCATGTGCAAAACTCTAATTTTAATCCCTAGTACTGCAAAAAGAAAAGAAAAGACATAAGCTCCAGTTTTTATCATGCAGTCTCTTAGTGGCGTATACTCAGTGTATGAAGTCATGGCTTTCATAAAAGGGCCTCTTCATGTGAAGATAATATTTAATTACCAATCTGTTAGACACATGCTTTTGTGTGATCTGGGCAGGGTTAAATTGCATACATGGAATTTCTTTGAAGGGGCCAGGGTTCTAGACAGAGTTTTTTTTTTTTTTTTTTTTTTTTTTTTTTTTGTGTAGTCTTGACTGTCCTGGAACTCACACTGTAGACCAGGCTGGCCTCAAACTTATAGAGATCTGCCTGTCCCTGCCTTCCAAGTTATACACAGAATTCTTAATATCAATGATTAGTATATGGTAATGTGTGGAATGTCTCATGTGTTTTTAGTAAAGTATCTGTTTGTTCTGACTCTAACCTTTTATCTGATCTTTTGAATAATTTTTATTGCTAAATGTCCAACAACAGATTACCTACCATCTTTGATTTTGTTTTATCTTGTAAATTCAATCTTCTGTGAAGTTTATGAGAGTAATCTACCTCTTTAAAAAGCTCAAAAATAAAAAAAATAAAATAAACAAAAAACAAAAAAAAAGCTTCAATCTAAAAGTCAGGCCTATCATGAGTAGAAGGGAAGATGAACTGGAAATGACATGGGCTTTCTGATTTAAAATACATTTTTAATGTTCCTCAAAATAAAATTGTTAGTAATTGAAAGTAAAAAAATGGATTAATTTAAGACATAAAAAGAAGCCTGAGTTAATAGGCCAAACAGTGTTGTAATTAAAAAAAACTCAATTACCATAAAAATAAAAACTAAATAAGAAAATCAAAACTGTAAGCAAGCCATGTTTTCTTTTTTAAGAGTTGCCTTGATCGTGGTGTCTATTCACAGACAGAAGGTCTTATTGGGAGTGGGATATTTCTGTGACAGGCCTGACCATGCTGCTTGTTAGAGGAATATGGAAGACTTTGAGACTTTGGAATAGAAAAACAATTGGCAGTACTTAATGGACCATCCTAGTAGGAGCCTGGAAGACAGTGCTGAGGGCCATTTGAATTTTGGGAGCCCGGCACTTACAGTTAAGTAAAGGTCATGAGTCTCAGAAGGGACTTTGTAGTTAAAAGCACCACTGATACTACAATAGACTATGTTTTTATCAACAGTGCTGCTCACTTACAGCATCATTTTTTTTTTACTATATTAGTCTACATTCTATAAACAGAAAACCTAACTTTTTAAGCTGAGGTATTTACCACTAATGTTTGTTTAAGTTAAATGAAAGCAAAGCCCCATAACAAATGCTGCATTGGACATGTAATGTGCATGTGTCAAGTAATTCCTGAAATGCACTGTGGGTTTTAATAATGGTTCAGCATGTACAAGACAGTGTTATCCGATGATAACCGTACTTGTTAATGGTTTATATTAGCTGAAAGCTGTAAAATCATCTGAGGACTCTTAGCACTAGAATAATAATTTACCAAGACAATTACCACATACTGGAAATCTTTTGCAACTCTAATTTGGTATTATTAATAATGGATAAAATTGCACTTTTCTCAGGTTGCTATGGGCAGCAGGGATTTACTTCAATGAATATTTCAGCACATCATTTTAATCATTTCTCCACCAGATCCACATGGGCAATATTTTATTCTTCTTAATTTAGTCTACTAAGCTACAGACATTAAGTTGCAGACTATCTGTAGTAAGGTCTACTCTGATTTACAAGCTTGTTATAAACTGTAAAAGAAAGGAAACTACCATTAATGCTTGCAATTTGATGTTGCATTTGTTACTAAACTCCTTATAATCAATGTTTGGTAGAGAAAAGAACACTGTAAAAAAAGAAAAGCAGCCAAGTATTTACAGTGTGAGAGAATAAAGTACGAGAATGCAGCTGTTTTAACTACTGCTTGTTGTGATAGTAATACTCATACAAACACACTTGTCTTAATTTTCCATAGATACCAATAAAGTAAAATTTAATTTTTGGGAACAAATGAATTTCCTGTTTCAGCTTTTTATTACTAACATTAATGTCATTTATTTTCCACATCTAGTCAGTTGCATGATTTCTGGCGTCTGGATTACTGGGAGGATGATCTTCGACGAAGGAGAAGATTTGTTCGAAATGCATTTGGCTCCACACATGCTGAAGCACTGCTCAAATCTGCAATTGAGTACGGTGAGTGCCACTGCCTCAAAAGCAGAATCACTTCTGAGGTGCGGGGTCTGTGATAGTAAGAATTTAGTTTTGCAATATTGGGTAATACTAACCTAAGTGTCAGAAATGTTTCGCCTTGCCCTTTAGCGCTATCAAGGTAGAACCAAACTCCATATTTCTTAGATTTATTTCAGAGACTTCATCTTACTATAAAAGGATAAAATATTCACATCTGGTCATAACCTAACATCCCTTCAAATAGCCTAAAACTACAGTGACATGGATTTTTCAATGTCTTTCAAACTTTAATGATCACAAGCCATGTAAAGATATATTATAATCCTGTACTCAAGTGTGGGTGTGTATTTTGTTTATTTTTCTACTGTGGGTACTGCACAGACCCTGCTGCAAGACCTGTGTTTTTATACATCTGTGTGTGTGTGTGTACCCATTTATACATAGGCTTATATAATGATCTCGATTTACAAATATAACTGAAATGTTTTTAGTAACCTATTAACATAATATTTCCACCCTATTTATTTTAAGCTCAGAAAATTATCAAGCTGGGAAGATGGCTCAGTCAGTCAGTCTTGCTGAGTTCCGAATCCCAGCATCCAATATCCACTTAAAAGTAGGACAGAAGCATACCTCTGTAACCCCATCATCGCAGGACCAGAGATAGGCAGATCCCTGGCCAGTCACTCTAAGCATTTAATAAACTCTAGATTCAGAGACTCAGTTTTACAAAACAAGATGGAAAGTAATCAAGGAAGACATCCATGGCATCCATGCATGCATTCACACATACTCACAGAGTTGAAAGTTATCAACAAAGACATTGGTGACATCCACATCCACATACACGCGTGTGACCACATAACCACGTGCCTACATGCAAACAAATGCATATACATACACCACACACATGGTCCATAAATTAATTGACAGTCTTGTTCTGTTCAGCCAGTTCAGCTCCCAGGTTTCCAATGGATTGCTAGTGAAGTTTGTGCCTAACAATACATTCCCAGTGTTATCAACCACCACACTGCAAAAAAGCTGTACCCCAATTCTCTTTTTTAAAATTTTTAAGAAAAACATTACTATAGTTTAATAAAAATTTTACTTTAGATTGTTGTCTAATAAGTTTTCTTAATTACATTTTATTTGCCCATTTTTTAAATTTGCTACATTTATTGTATGTGTGTGCTCAAGCTCGTGTATGCACAAGTACAGGCACATATGTTTACGTGTCGTAGCTCATGTGTGGAAGTGAAAGGAGAGTCATTTTGCTCCTTTCAGCATGTGGGTCCTGGGGATTAAATCCACATTTATCAGAGTTAATAGCAAGAACCTTTACTCACTGAGACTTCTCACTGACACTATTTAGCCATTTTTAAATGCTCTAATAAGCTTAAGTCTGCTTATATCAGAATTTCTTGTGCCATATATATCCCGAGGTAATAATAATGAGCATTGTTCATGTAGTTTGTGTTGTCCACTTTTAATCCTAGAGTTACTTGCGATATTTATTTTCACTTACTTGAGAGTAATTAAGTGAACTATCTGTTTTAAAGTTTACCACATATGGTAAATAGTTTTGCATTATTATATAGTTTGTATCATGCCATACAACTCTTATTCTTAATGAAGTGAGTGTAAAGATATAAATCATTATTAAATAAACACTGTACCTAAGGGTTTCAATTCAACCATTACCTTATGAAAAATTACATAGTAATTATACAGTGGAAGGAAACATTAAAAATGTTTCAATAAATCATAAGAGTCCTCACTATAAGGAATTTTCAAATCAACTCTAAAACCCATGTAAGGATTTTAGCACCCTAAGGATTTGCAGCCAAATGAAAGTGGGTTGTTACATTCATGATTCATAGAAATACTGCCTGCTTAGGCAGCATATACATGATAGTACTGTGAGGATGTCCCTGGCCTGGAATTCACAGAGTTCCATCTTCCTCTGCCTCTGCCTCTGGAATGCTGGAATTAAACATGTGTGCTTTATTTACTAATTTAAATCTGTTCACCAATTCAGTATGAATTTACCTTATTGAAAAGTAGAATTGTCTGCAAATGATTTGTAAGAGAGGTTAGACTAAGGTGTATTGGTAATAGTTATAAAAACTAATTTTGTAGAGGCTGCCACCCATACTCTACAAGTTACTTCAAAAGGGCTTTGTTATGAAAATAATCCTTTTGTTTGTGTGGGGAAAAAATGGGTCTCTTCGTGTTTGATTTGTATTTTTGCCTTAAAAATCCCTTTGATGATTCATATTTTAATCCCATAAAAACTATTTTTAATAAATCTGAACTAAAATAAATATTACTTACATCTTGAAATAAATGAGCCATGCTAGCAAATCTTCTGTGTATTTCATGGTAATTTTAAAGATGTTATTTTCATTAATTTTAAATTCTAGGTGATGAACAGTATTCAGGTTCTTTTGTCTCTCTTGGGTTTGGTTCTTTGGTAAAGAGAAAGAAGGGTGTTTTTATTTGACAAGTATTAGTAACCAACATCATATCCAGGCCACATACATTTAAAGCACTTGTACAGTTCCTATGGTAGAGTCACATGATGGTCAGTCCCCAGAGTTCAGGTTGTGTTATGGAAGTCCAAAGATAACATACCACAGATCTCCGCCCCTGAACACTTCCAGGGTACACCTTTTCAAGCCTTCATCAGGGCTCATCTGTGGACCTCAGGAACTGAGGAGAGGGTTGGCAATCAGAAAAGGAGCTGGGTACAGGAAAATGGGAAGTATTCCGTGGAGGGATATCTATAGACAAATAAAGGGAAGATTGCAAACAACCAGGATTCCCTACTTCTAGCCCTGCTTGTTTCCCAAATTGCGCACGAAGTACTTCAGAAGAAAGAGGAAGTAACTGCCAGTAATGATTACAAAGCACTTCCTTCAATAAAAATAGATGCTGGGAGACTTAATTGAAAGCAGATTCTGTTTTTAAAGTTTTACATTCAAAACATCTATATAAAGCCAAAAAGAAAAAGAAAAAAGAAAAACCAAACTATATAAAACCCAGCCCATTGTCTGAATACCCTCTGCTAAATATCAGTGTGTCTATGTATGCAAACTTTGGAAGGGTGCCGACCAAAAGCCACCTTGTAGACCTGTGATGTTAGGAAGACCCGTAGGAAACCTTCATAGGACAGAGCTACAAATTCCCAAAGACTACCTAAGACAAGTTAACATTCAATGTATTCCTTCTTCCTTGTCAAATAATTGCATCATTTATACCTCTTTATGATAAATGTTTTAAATCCTGACTTGCCATTTGGCTTTGAATATGCACAATCTCCACTTTGGATTGTGGTGAAAACTATTTTTCATTTGTCCATGTTTCAGGAACCAAATAATGTTTTATACTGGTAACTCCCAATGTGGGTAAAAAAAAGTGGAATCAGTAATAAAATAGAATTCTTAAAGACTTGTAAACTGAGAGAGCCTCGTTCAGTTTATTAAACAGGTCGCCTTCCTTAGTGGGCAAAACATGTCTGCACTTCAAAGTCCAAGTTGAGTCATCTGTTAGTGTAGATCATGAGTTTGGAGACAGGAGTCTACATGAGGGTAACAGAAGTGAAGGAGAGGCAATGGACTTCAGGCTTAGTAGAAATGCCTTGGACCACCTGATCTTTCTTGATATCTTAAATCCAGCCACATGGTTTAGATTAAAATAAAGTTGTACTTCCATGATGGGAAGAAATATCCATCAGAGTTCAGATTTCATGGCATTATTTTCAGAGTCTCAAATAGTAAGATTAATTTTTTTCTTTGAGTAAATAATCAGGGTTTGATATAATTCTAAGGAAACAAAACACAGTTTTATTTCATAGTGATTTTGAAAGTTTTCTCCATGATTTTATTAATAAAACTTCTAGTTGACCTTTTTCAGTTGGAAAATAGCCTTTTCAGTGATGGAATTTTTCCTCCTTTTTAGTAACACTAATGAGTTGAATAATTTATGAGGTTGTTGTGTGCAAAAAATTCAGTATGATTTGACACAGTCTCAGTCTCTGGTGTTGGAATATGATTAATAAAAAACCTAGGGGCATGTAATTTTTTCTTGATGTTTAATGTGTTAATTTTGCATGTACTGAATGTGTTATTTAGGTGATTTTTAGTGGTAAAATCTCTTTCAAGTGAAAATTTGTCAGGAATTTTACAAACCATAGCATTGGAATTACATAAGAAAGATGTTTTAAAACTTATCTTTTCATCTGCATGATATATTCTTTGGGCAAATTAATTGATAGATGAAAAAATTGAAATAGTGGGTTTTAACTGTTACATGTTAAAGTAAAACCCAGACTCTTCAACTTCTGGTACATTCTAGTGTGTAAAAATACATGCTGACAAAGAGTAAGGGAAACTCTTAGTAAGTTTGGTTCTCTTTGTTGAGTGTCAGTCATCATTTGGGCTTCTGTTTCTCTTCCATAAATTTACAGTGGAGCTACATTTCATCAAAGCCTAGGATCGCAAGTACTTCGTGTCTGTGATCAAAGACATCATCTTAAATAGGTCTGATCTGGTACTGCAGAAGAGGGCAGGCTGCCTCAGCCTGAGGGAGGGAAAAAAAACACAGAGCAAAGATGACAAAGTTAATCAGTCATTTCTTTGGCAATAAATAATAAGATATGCTGAGAACTGCAAATGAGAACATTCTTACATTCCTCAGAGATCTGTCTGCTTAACACCTGATTTATCTAAGCTTGTGAAGCCATCAAGTTATGACCTTGATGCACAAAATGCAGCTCTGTAATGAGCTGGAATTAAATTAGTCTGCTGCTGCATGCATGGCTACTGTAATATGTTTCATGTAGTCGTCAGAAAATAGGAAGGTGCTGAGAGTGGGAACAATGCTGTGCAGCAATGCAGTCATTGAGAAAAACTATGAAATTATCTGTCTTCATTCTGCCAAGAGCTTGCAATTATTACAAATTTGAGAACCCACGTCCTTACTATGTAGAAAAAAATGAGTAA